AAACCAGTCTGGGATTCTATGATCCCATCAGAAATGATCCTCCCCTGTACTCCACGGTGCAGTCACTGATGTTTTAAGCACCTCCAGAGCATTAACTGCCCAGTGGTGTTAGCATCCAAAGCGTAAATTCGTTTTAAACAACTAATTTAACATGTGCTAAATATTCAGGCCCCACCTGCCAACTCCCATTTCTATCAGCTGCTTTCTCTGTTATCTAAACCCACTCATCACAGAACCTGGTGAATAATCACAACCCAGAGTATTCTGGTAACAGGGAACCAGAAAGAGCTTCAGCTTCAGAGTTCAAATCCCTGACTGGTGCGTGGGGTCCGCTGGTGACCCACAGTGTGAGGCTGTGCGGGTCCCTCCCCTCCTCTATGCCTCCCCTCCCTGTGTCAGGCTGGAAAATGCTCAGGACCTTCATAGCTCCAACAAGCATTATGCATTAATGTCTGAATAATGCCTCATGATCCACAGGAAGCATGAGCAAATGCAAATGATTATTAATTAAAATGAAAATGTAGGATGGCTTTAAATATTTGTGGAGTTTCAGAAGGACTCGCTCCAGGGAACTGCTTTTATCTATAAAGCAAAGCAGCCAAGCTCTCAAACATCTAGAGACAAAAAAAAAAGAAAGTTCTCAAAAACAACTAACTTAATAGTCTTCCATCAAAATAAACCTCGATGAAGCTTTACCAAATCATATCTATCTAAATGCTATACTGGAACAGGTTGCCCAAGGAAGTTGTGGATGCCCCCTCCCTGGAAGTGTTCTCGGCCAGGCTGGATGAGGCTTTGAGCAACCTGGTCTAGTGGAAGGTGTCCCTGCTGCTGGCAGGGGGGTTGGAACTGGATGAGCTTTGAGGTCCCTTCCAACCCAAACCAGTCTATAATTCTATACAGATATGAGAGTGCTAAGCTTGAGTTATTTTAAGTAAAATATTAATTTCATCCTCATAGAAGTGGAGTCTACTCACTGCTGCTCACCTCCAGCCCTAGACCCTCAGACCTACCTCTAGCGTTTAAAAGTAACAGCATTCTTCTTCATTTTGAAAGTAAACGACATTGAGAGATCAAGTCCTTACTCTTTACCCCAGACAGACAGACAGATCTCCGCAGGGGCACTCCCCAAGAACAACACATCTCTCTCCCAGAGGAAATGGAAACAAAACCACCTCATGGGCTTCCACTCACCGAAAGGCTTTGTACGCGGGTCGGAACCAGCAGACGTAACCGCAGGGACTGAAGAGGACAAGCCAGAGGATGGCCAAGCCAAAATTGACCCCGTAGCCTCCTCCGATCCACCACGCCAGGCACGCGATGATGTTCACTACCAGCGTGATGCAGTAAACTGTAGAGGGCAGAGGAAAGAACATGAGGTTGTGCAGTTTCACATCACTCTGCAAAAAGGAAACAGACACTTGGTACTATAACAGGAAGGGTCCACGCTGCAGTGGAAACTCAAGCCTGTTTTAGGTTGGATCTGAGGAAAAATTTCTTCACCGAAAGGGTGGTCAAACATTGGAACAGGCTGCCCAGGGAGGTGGTGGAGTCACTTTCCCTGGTGGGATTTAAAGGCTGGGTAGACGAGGTGCTCAGGGACATGGTTTAGGGGTGGAATTGGCAGTGTGAGGTTTATGGTTGGACCTGATGATCTTAAAGGTCTTTTCCAGCCCCTGTGACTCCAAGCGAGTTGCAGGTTCCCGAGTGGCCCCAGGGGCCGGCAGCACAGACACATCCATCTCCAGAGAGACTGCTGCCCCAGAGGGATGAGGAAACTTTTGGGACCTGCCAAAGGATGGAGAGCTGGGTAACAACCAATGTGACTAACCACAGACTCAGGGCAGTATTTTTATGAATTATGAGCAAGGTTCAATTCCTGTTTGTAGCAAAACCCCCTTTATGAGAGGAGGGGCGTACAACACTGCCCTGCACCCAGCCCCAAATGACTCTGGTCTCTGTGCTTGCTGAGGCTGCCTCAGGAGCTGTTACAGAACCAGCACAGCACTTTGTGGGCTCTCTCTCTGCTTCCCTGAGCCTCTGAGGAAGCCTGGAAGTCAGCTTCAGGGCTCGTAAGCACTGCCTTGAGCGAGGGGATAAGCAAACCCCAATCAGGCTGAGAACACAGGACCACAGGGGTGGCTTAAAGGCCCTTTCACATCCCTGTTCCTACCACTGGGATAAAAAGGAACAGTTGACAAAGGCCCCCAGTGCACAGCAGTGCTGATGTGCATGAAGTGACACTGCTCCTCCCTTTCCCTGAAGCTCAGCATCAGCACACAGCAGGGCTGCACACTCCCTGGCTTCCACAGGCAGAGCTCAATCCCCAGCCCAAGGGCTCCCCACTTTCCTCCACGCACTCCCCTCACTACTCCAAGGTCTCCCTGCAGCTGTCCCTGCATCCCCCCAGGCTCTGCCAGCATTTAAGAGGTTTAGCCCAACTACAAGCACGTATTTTGGAAAATAGGTGGTGACTCTTAGAAACCCCTTTGTTTTAACCCGTATCAATTAGCAGAGATAGAGACAAATGCGAAGGCAGAGGGTTAAACACAACAGACCCTTCAGTACCACTTGGTGATGAGCTCACAGGAACACTTCGGACCCTGCTCTCATTTATTCAGTCAAAATTAAATCCCTGACTTTCTCTTCACCTGCAGCAAGTGAACATGCTCTGCCCATTCCTCACTTCACAGTGGCTCTGCAGCATGTCTGCACATCACTGCCTCGGTCCTGTGATGTCCAACGCCAGCCTGGCCTCTCCTGACTCTTCTCTTGACACAGACCCACCTGCCTTCACACAGCCCAGGGGCTGCTAAACAACTACAAAGTTGTGTGGTTGTAAAATAATATTGACAGCACAGTCAGGAGAATCTAGCGTGGGAAATATCCAAACCCACTGCTGCTTCTGACATACAAATTACATGAGAGTTAAAATAAACCAGTTTTACTACAAAGAAAATTTCTTGAGCAGCTAACACCCCGGCTCTGCATGCAATGGTTTGGATGTATCTTAATATTGGTGGGAAGAAAGTATTTTAATGATTTAAATTTCATTTATACAGCAGTTAGCTGTACTTCTTCAAACTTTTATTTTCAAAAGTCATTTATACTCCAAAAGTTGCTCAACAGAAAAAAAAAACAAACCACTAAGCCGAGAGCACCTAGAAATTTTTAAGGAGCTTCTGGTTCTCCCTGCACATCAGGTAGGAGTTTGTTCTCCAGCAGTGGGAGCTCTGGTATCGGTTTCTCCAAATCACCACCCACCTTAATAAAATGTTGACATCCAATTAAAGTAATGAGCATTCAACCTTCTAGCAACAACTTTTGTGTTTCTGTTCTAAACACCACCCGCCTTTCCTTGTTTACCACCTTCCTTCTGTATGTGTTTCTCTCTCCATCCCATCCCCAAAAAGTTGGGGAGACCCCAAAAAGAAAATTGTGCTGCAGATGGAAATTTAAAAAACTCCTGGTGAACGTGCCAGGTTCTCCTCAGCCACGCTGGACTAGTTGCCCAAATGGCTGGCACCTTTCCAGCCTGCCGTTAACTGGAATGAGGGAGGCTTTGTTTGGGAAGAGTCGCAGACAAAGGCAGCTTTGCAGCGTGCAACATTTAACCAGTTCGTCTGAAGGGACAAGCAGTTTCTTCAGGCAAGAAAATTACAGAGCTCATTTCAGCATCTCTAAATAACACAAGAACAATGGAGTGATAGATTATGCTATTATTTATGCACACAAATCTCTCTCGTACACACATCCTATGCATCTGGAATAAAAGCCGTGCCCACCAAATGCATATCTGGCAGAAAACAAGCTTTCCTTCACTGAGAAGGGTAAATAGGATGACAAGCGTTTGGGGAAAAAAAGATAAGCAAGGCAAAAAAGATTTTTAATCTTCCAAAGCATCCCCTGTGGTTCTCTGGGCCTGCCACGTCGGTTTGCATCTGATTGCATTCCTTGGAGAAGAATGGTCAATTCTCATTACTGGATCTGAATGGCTCAGGCAGACAACACAAGCCCAGAGCCAGGAGGTCTGTTCGTACAGAGTATCAGCAAATCACCAGCTGTGACCAAGGGGATCAGCGCCCTTCTCCAGCAGGATGGGGAATGTTTCCAGGCTATGGATAGCTCAGGAAGAGACAGTGTCCAGCTAGAAGACACTGCTTCAACTGGGAAGGGAAATCTGTGGATGGCACAAACATGAGGGAATCTTATCCTTCCTACAGTCAGGTGGGGAGACAGGTAGCAAGCAAACAAGCCACATTTATTTTCTTGCCTAAAATTCTCCTCTTCATCTTAGTTTAGGTGAATTGGGAATTATTTTAAGAGGGCTATTTTGTGGGGGTAAAACATCACTTGACATTAATAAAGATATCAAATATGGTCTGTTTTTTTCCTCCTCAAATTTACTAATAGACTTTTCTAGCACTGATACTGCCTCCTTTCTTCAACAGCTGCTCTGCAGGTTGCCCAAGGAAGTTGTGGATGCCCCCTCCCTGGAAGTGTTGAAGGCCAGGTTGGATGAGGCTTTGAGCAACCTGGTCTAGTGGAAGGTGTCCCTGCTGCTGGCAGGGGGGTTGGGACTGGATGAGCTTTAAGGTCCCTTCCAATCCAAACCATTCTATGATTCTATGAAAGATTCAAGGCATGGCAGCTTAAAATCTGGGCACAAAGTTATATTACAGTACAAAGATGAATCATTGTTTCTCATCACCTCATTGCAGTCAAAACTTTAAAGCACATAAGTCATTGAGATCTATGGTGTTTTAATACACATACATGTTTTCCCAACACAGGTTTTTTTATTCAACTTACAGATCCATACGTGGTAGATTCTCTTCACCAGAGACTGATAATCGATGGGAATTTCATCAGCAAAATTCTGGTAGAAACATGGTTTCAGAGGGATAAACTTGGGGAGCGGTGGGAAGTTATTCACCTTTTCTACAATGCAGAAGACAGGTATTAGATGCAGAAACATTGTCATATGGCTCAGCAAGTGTAATACCCTCCACACCTTCCCAATACACACCCATGGATCCCTAGGACAAGGGAACTCACAAGAATCAAAAGAGAAACCATCACCAGCTCTGGCCGTTCACGTTATTGCAGCGTGTTCATCCTCACTCTGGACACCAAACATGTTGTTCTCATTCCTCAGCAATGGACATGACATTTAAACTATGACATGCAAGACTTAGAGAGAGGAATAGAAACGAGCTAATAAGCAACACATGGATTTGATACCTTTACACATCAGTGTAAAGTTGTACAAAAGGCACTGCAAGACAAAAAGCTTTCAAAGAAGCTCCAGGGTGAGGTGGAAGGAGGGGGAGGCCAGCAGCCTCTGGGGGAAAGGGGCTGCACAGAGTTTTTGAGTTACAACCTCTCAGAAAACCAAAGCAAGAGGAAAGGCTGGTGATTGTCCAGACAAGCAGATTTACCTTCAGACACAAGCTCTGAGTAAGGACACTCGCTGGCACGCGGATCAGGCCTTAGGACCTGTAGTAGCTACGTCCCTATGACAGTAAGGAAGGGGGCTTTTGGAAAGCATCTCTCAAACTGGAACTTAAGTCCTCAGATGCCATCCAGTTTGGGGAAGGCAAATCAGACGTGAGGGATGACTTTGCTGTGACAAGACTCAGGAATGTAAACTTTTTTCCTTTAAAAGTCAAGTTTTTCCCATAAGGGTAAAAACCCATTCAAAAAAAAAATAAAAAGGAAAAAAAATAATAAAAAGCTTTACATTCAGATACAATAAATCAGCAAATGCTGATAAAAGCGATATGGTGAAGGAAACCTGACCTTGGGAAGAAATTATATTTTAAAATCAAGTATGTAAATGCCTAAATCCTCTGCACTGAAGCTGCTGCCAGCTTCTAGACAGATGCAGATTTGTGTATCTGCGTGTGCCTGGAGATGCGTTTCTACATGTTGGAGAATGTTTGCTCTTGCCTTCTAGTCCTGATTAAAGTTCCAGGGCATTGTGACTAATTGTCTCTCGTCTACTTCAGCCCCAGTAAACAGAATTAAAAACAACCAAAGGAAGAGATGAAGAATGTCCTGGGAAAACCTCCAAATGGCACAGAAGACGAGAGGAAATGTCTGAACAAGAACTGTCAGCACAAGAGTTCCCCTTCTCCTGCCATTATCTCTGCGTGAGAAGACATTTTGCAGGAGCAGCTTCTTAGCTTCGTTTGAAGGTTGGCAGGGAAGAGCCGAAAGCTGTCAGCCATGCTTTAGGAAAGAAAAGGCTTCACTTCATGCAAAGGAAAGGCGTATTTTCAGGCAGAAAATGTGGTGAGGATAACGCCCACCGCGAGTGCATCAGAATTAAATGTGGAATGATGTCTGAAGTCACCAGCCCAACTTGACTTTTCAGTACATTTCGCCTTATAAAAACAAATATTAAGTTTTCTGCCCCTCCTCACTCATCTCCATTAAATATATTTTACATAAATTCAGATGCCCTCTGAAGCTGGTGTTAGTTACTGGTTAACAGCAACCACTGAACTCATCACACACGCTGATGGCCCACGGCTGCTTTCAAAGTCCACAGGAATTTGGACCCAGCACTAATTTTGTGTTTGCTATAAACAGCTAATGGGCTTTCTCCTGGCAGCAGCCTACAAAGGGACATAACAATGCTGGATCAAAGGCAAGGAAGGGAGCACAGCTTTTAAAGCTAAAGAAACAGCTCTCTAGGGAAGCAAGTAAGGTCAAGATTAACTGATCACAGTAAAAGCAGATCCTCTAACAATCTTTTTATTATTTTTTGAAGGATGAGGAAAATTTTGCTCTGCCACTCTTCAACAGCTGAAGCTGCAGCTGGTTCCTTTGGTTCTTCTCTCTTCCATTTTCTCTCTCCTACAGCACAGATCTGCCACGGACAGTAGAGCTGCTGCCAGCCTCTAGTGTGAGAAGTCCCCACATGGTGGGGCCAAAACCAACGGGGCTGCTGGGCACCAGCCACTGCAGCTTGTCATTTTTCAAGCTCACAAAATGTTCCAAATACTTCCACAATTGCTTGCTAGGTAGACAGAGATTGGGATTACACCTCTTCTCTGTTGCTGCTCAGCTGCAAACAGCCCAGATGACCACTTTTTCCCACCCAGAGACCCCGTAGTTTTCAACTGTTCTGGGTTCCTTCCAAGAACAGAAAAAGGAAATCAAACTAAAATATCCTCTTTCACGTCTGACTGCACAGCTTGGAGTGCTGCAGCACTCCTATCAAGGCTAGGATCAACACATTAGATCAGCAAGCAGAAATGAAACATCAACGAACAGCAGCTGTATGCAAGTCCCTGACTTTCTTTTATCTTAAAAAAAATTGAGAGGAATGTTGTTACTAATCTCACTGCAAGTAAAATGAAGATGTATGAATATCAATAGTACAGCTGGGAACGCTGTGGAAAGCTGTTCAGCCTCTTTAAGGAAGGAAGGAATTATTCTCATGCCCAGTTCTGGAGCCCCCATCACAAGAGAGACCTGGAGCAGCTGGAACAAGTCCAGAGGAGGCCACGAGGATGATGCGAGGGCTGGAGCAGCTCTGCTGTGAGGACAGGCTGAGAGAGTTGGGGCTGTTCAGCCTGCAGAAGAGAAGGCTCCAGGGAGACCTTCTAGTGGCCTCCCAGTACCTGAAGGGGCTACAAGAAAGCTGGAGAAGGACTTTTCATAAGGGCAGTTAATGACAAAACAAGGGGTGATGGCTTGAAACTGAAAGAGAGGAGGTTTAGATTAGATATTAGGAAGAAATTCTTTGGTGTGAGGGTGGTGAGACAGTGTCCCAGGCTGGGCAGAGAAGCTGTGGCTGCTCCTCCCTGGAAGTGTTCTCGGCCAGGTTGGATGAGGCTTTGAGCAACCTGGTCTAGTGGAAGGTGTCCCTGCTGCTGGCAGGGGGGTTGGAACTGGATGAGCTTGAAGGTCCCTTCCAACCTAAACCAGTCTGGGATTCTGTGATTATGATTCTATGTACTTTTTTATGAATAAATTCCATCCTCATAAAACTTCCAAACAAGTCACACCTGAGACTTTATCGCAGAACAGGAACCTGGGCTGACAAATCTACAGTGTAAAGTGAACGTGTCCAAGACAAGAAGAGCTGTAGCTGAAGAGCTTGATGGCTCACTAAGATCTCAGGAAGGGACACACGTTGCAGACCTGATGTGTTACAGCCATCACAGGACACTGAGAAACATTCTCTGAAACCATTTTTCTCCCTACATTGCCGGATTTTGAGGTGCTCTCCCCTGCCATTTCTGTAAGGAGTGTCCCCTGGTGAGGTTTCAGACAGACAGCAACAGACCTATTGGAGAAAGAAAATCAGGTCAGCACATGTCACTAACCAGCACCCAAAGAATCTCCTGGAAATGGGAGTATCTCCAGCACAGTTTGACAGACCGTGAGCCCAGGGTTCCCACTACAAACTACTTGTTTCCAATTCCCCAAAGCAAACACGCTGGAACCTTCCAGAAAGGATCACAACTTCTCCTTGTTCATATAAAACTCCACCTGGTAGCATCTCATTGAGCACAACTCCACTGTCAACCACTTTTACAGCTTGGATTATTCAGCAACAAACAAATGTGCTCTCAGTGGTACCTGGCACAGGCTGAGGATGCACAGACAGCCACTGCCAGACCACGTGCACCTTCCAGCTGCAGCCAGAACAGCAGCCCAGGCAGACAGGTCTGCGTGGGACCCAGCACACACATCAGGAGAGAAATCGGTACAAACTCACCAGACTTAGCACCTCATTTAGGTGTTGAGATGATTTGTTGGCTCCTGGCTCTCTGTGGACCTTCCCAACTGCTGAAACAAACAGATAATCACTGTTAGCTGGGAAGGAAACTGCTGTTAAAAATAATAATAAAAAACAAACCCCAACAGCTGGTAGACAAAACATCCCTCATTATTTTAATAATTCTGCACAACACTTCTTAAAATGCAGATTCATTCTTCCTGTTATCACCACTGAACGTGACCACAATTCTGGAAGAATCAAATCCTGCAAAGTTTACTTGGCATCAGCCACGTTGCTGATTTTGGCAGAGCCGATGGCGCAGGTGAAAGCCCCAGAGAGGTCTGTGCTGAGCTTTGATTCTCCACTTTCTCCATTCAGGATAAAAACACCATGTGCCCCTACCTGTAAATCCCAGAATGGAAACACAGAACACCACAAACCCCTTTAAACCAGCACTGCAGGCTCTGACCAGAGTTATCAGCAATGAAGGAAGCCTAGACTACAAACTGCCCCTCCAAAAACACGACAAGCACCGCACGCCGCTGCCAGCACCGAGGTCAGAATAGCTGCCTTGTCTCCAAAGCCCTCGGGATTTACAGCAGCTCGTTTCCCTTTTCTGCACCTCTGAGCTGTCCTCCTGCGTGCCCCGGGGATGGTCTGGAGGCTGCAGAGTTTACACTGGTGCGATTCTTTTGTTGGGGTTGCATTTACTTTGTTTCCTTTTTAATTGAGCTACTCTAGCACAGTTGTTGGTGGAGACAATGACACTCATAAGAAGCAGGACCTGGACAGGCAGCTCATTCCTCCTGTAGGTAGAGATGCATTTATAAACAAGCTTAATTACGTCTACATTAAGGAGAAAACACCATTTTGCTCATACCAGTCTAAAGAAAGCAAGAGACTGTGGACAGGAAGCTCTGTCAGTCGTGAGCTGCTCAGGACAGGGACTCCCCGGGTGAAGGCTCACACGAGGAGCCACAGCCCAGCTGAATGCTCAGAGCTTTCCCACAATGCAGACATGACCCAGCGTCTGACAGGCATTTTATAACTTACAATTCAGAAATGGAAGCATTTTGCTTGTGTGAGTAGAAAATAAAAGTATGAAGACCGTTAAGAATACAATTAAAACTTCACCCCACCCATTTGCAGCTGCTCCCAGCTGAGATCTGTAAATTTTGGGGGAAGAACAAATGACACGTGAACACAAGTTATGCTGAAAAGAACTTTTAACTGAAAGG